ATGTCTCTCACCGGTACTTTGTTAAAAAAAATCATGATTGGGCAGTATTTGTATATTTTCGTATTTTTGCATGAGTTGACATTTAGATGATTTTGTACAATATTGGGGGTAGATTTTTGAAATATAATTACTGATTGATAAAATTCGACAATGGATACCCTAGGCTCTACAAGGAGGGGAGTAGTGTGGTACCACAGCCCGACTCATCCGTGCACGACCTTTCTCGACTAACATTGATCTCCCTGACCTCCATCTTGCCAGATGTCTGCTAGACATAGCCTGTCTTATCGACCTAATCTGGAGGGATTTGTCAGGTAAGTCGTGGACCATTACGACAATATAAAGAGTTGTTCCTCTTTGATCAGTGAACTTCTGAAAACAATCACGATACATTACATTGTATTTTTTTAAAATAGAAGTAGAATAAAACATTTTTTATTTGCAGAATCATACTCAACTCAAACTCCATGAGGTTCCTTATACTGACTACCACCTCAATTCATCGTCACCAAACAAATTATATGGATCACCCAAGGTTGGACGATAATTTTCCCCTCTATCAGTAACATGTAATTTGTTATTTGTTACTCAAATAATATCATGCCATATTCGTGACTTTTATTTAAAGATGCAATAAAATATCTGTTGTCTGTGTTTTAACTAGCTGAGAAAGACATGCTTTGGTAAATATCAGTGGGAAAATAAGACGGAGGCTAATTGGTCCAGTGAAGAGGAAATAAATCTTATCTAAGAGGCAGAGAAATTTTGAAGAGAAGCTATTTGAAAAAGATTAAAGAGATGAGGATTTAGGGAAAACATGGAGAAGCAAAAGAAGAGACATGGAATTCTTTCTTTTTATTCACAACAGGAATTAATTTTGTCATATGTGGCATTGATGACACACATCAATTATGTGGTCTTAAACCAAAAAAAGGGGAAGGAGGAGGGAGCTAAAATTCGGTGCCGAATCACTCCAGACTGTGGCTTCAGACAATGATGACTTAACCTTATTCACTTGGTAGAATCAAAAATAAAAAAAAAAATGGAAAGGAAGGATTTGACCGACATATGGATTTTTTTTTATACAAATGCATGAAAAACAATGTACTTATGTCTATTATAATTGTCGAAAATGAACAAAAAAGGAAATCAAATATGTTATGCAAATTCCGGCAAGGATAGTGTTACAGAATTTTGCCTAAAAATATTAACATTTCTAGCAAATATTTTTAGGATATAATTACAAAACTCGTAGACATGCATTTCACTTAATGTTTTCATAATGAATTTTCTTCTTTTCGTTTTTTTCTTTCTTTCTTTTCTTTTTTCTTTTTTTTTCTTTTATTTTGATAAGAAAAAAAATATATAATTACATGCATATCAAAGCATTTGAAGAACCTGTTTAAAAAATAAGATTAGATGTCACCTTCCCATATCCCATGACTTCTGTGGATGCCGTTTAAGACTCCTACAAAGACTTATCCACTACTCTCATCCATAATTCTCTGTTATCCGTCGCTATCGTAGATTATTTAGATATTCCCCATCTTTTCTCACCCCAAGAAATCAGCTTCACAAATGAAAATTTTTACAACAAATACATTCTTAAGATGAAACTTTAACCGGAAGTGATCTGAAAATGTACTCAAATATGAGTTAATGCTAGGGCTTTACCGTTCTGTGATTTTTTTCCCGATCTTTCATTTAGCATTTTGTTGATTGAATGGATTAAGTTTACAAAAAGGGTTTAGAATATGTAAAGGGATGTACATACGCCGAATACATGTACGTGATGAAATCAAACATAAAGCCGGAGGGTTACTGTAGATCACTTAATATTCGCGACACTTTATTTTCGCGACACAGTCATTGGATGTTTATAAGGGAGAAATTATTTTCACGAATTGCTGTTATTCCTCTATATAATCGTAAGGAATACTTATATACGCGAGAATTTAATTTTCACAAGCTCATTGTTTTGCGTTATTACGCTAAAATAAAGTTTTCGCGAATAAAAAGTCATTTACAATACTTTTTATATTTTGGAGGGATATATTTGTTTGTTAGTTTTTTCCTTTCCAGCGTCAGATTTTACAGGGAAGGTGATCGATAAGAAGTACCGGAAATTAATTCCACTCAACAAAGAAGAAACATTACAAACTCTGCTTGACTTTTAATTAAAACATAACCTGTATGTTTTCGTAAGAAAGTTAATTACTTTCAATAACAGTTAACCATTACTTCAAAAAGTTGAAGTCTTAAAAAGAATCGTTATTTCTTTCTTTTTACTTTTCATTTTATAAACGTGTTTTAAGTTGAAAAGTCAGTTATTCCTGACATTAACTTTATTCAGGTACAAAATAAAGCAAAAAGGCTGCAAAATACTCGCATTTATATGGCTTTTTCAGACATTTTAAGAATGTTTAAAAAATATTGAGTTAACTGATCTCAGAGCTTTTCTTTAGGCCCAGCTTGACATTCTTGAGAAAAAAAACTTAGATGAATACTCAAGTACTGCATCATTATGTTTCTCTCGTATTTCAAATTTGTTTTTCCTGTTTGTTAAGGGCTCTTATAGAATGACATTCGTGACAGCACAACTTCCTTGTGTGCTGATTTACTTGTTTAAAAATGAAAACATTTTATAATTTTTTTAAAGAAAATTTAGCAATAACCTGTATGATCTTTGTGATGCATTTCTATGGAAACATAGAATGAATCATAGGCAGCACTGTTAAGGCCTACTATAAAGGAATCTATGGAATATAGCAAAAAATGGAAACTTTTTAAAACATAGTGTACCCCACTCTGTACTAAACTAAGTTTGGTCCATCAATGGACAGTCATGTGATAATTGCATAGTATGTGTACTGAATGGAGGTCAAAAATAAATTTCAATATCGCAAGGGCATATCCTACTTGAAATTAAAAATTTAAGTTACCATTTGTTTTTGCATAATATGTACTTTTTTGAAAGTGTTGCTGCTTTATGTAGAATTCGCATTTTATTAGTTAAAATTTCAAGTAAATATGCACATGTCGAAATTTGTATGACCTTTACCAAGTATTTTATGTCCGTATTAAGTCACGCTCTCGATTTAAAGAAAGCAGCAGCAGTTTTCAGGTTAAGGAAAGTATCCTTTATTTATATTAAACAAATCGCTAACATCTATTTAGTCTATGCCCTTTGGAAAAGGCGATTTAATAGGCCACCTCGATGGTAAACATGTCAAACCTTTACAGATAAACACGGCAAAATTACTTACATACATTCTCTCGCTATCATTAAAAAATCACACTAAACAAAGGTTTTATGCTGATATTAATAGCCTATCGAAAATTGGTGAATAATTTTCTGTTTAATAATAAAATGCATTTTGCATTGTAGAAAATAGACTTAGTCTGTTCTTCACAGCACATAAAATACGAAATTTTTACCAAAATGACGTGATTACGACAAGTTTGCTGCGATTAGTGGTTTGTTTATAAACCGTTGTCTTAGATTTAACTAGCAACTGTTTCTAATGCATTGATAAGTTTTAATGTTATTTATTATGCAAATACAGTTTAAAATGGCAAGAAATTTGATTTTCTAGTATTATGAGGAATACAAAATGTACCTATTTTTGTTTGACGTCACAGTTAACTTTTCCTGTATAAATTAGGCCGCCCTCTTATTCAAGCCTTAACAATGCTGTGATATATATCTTTGTCACATATTTAGATTAATATAAAATACATAGTTACTGTCTAGAAATATAAGAGATATTTGGGCGAGGGTTAGAAAAAGTGATAGAGGGCGAGGCTTGCCAAGCCTTCTTAAGTTTTCGACCCGAGCCCAAATATCGCTTATTTCAAGACAGTTATCATGTATTTTGTTAATCCTGCAACAATTCTTTAACATTTGAACGTTACAAACAAGTTATTTTCGACGGATTTAGGCACATCTCTGCAGTTGAAACTATGACGCCATGGCGTAAACATTGCAATATGCATGACGTTACAATGCTTTTAGAACGTCGGAATACATGCACGAGGCTTTATTAGGGCGGTGATCGGATAAAGCTTTGGTTTATTAGGTTACCTTTATTAGGTCAATGCAAGGGGTAGTTGCAGGATAAAATTGCAGATGATCACAGCTGGATACTTGTAAGAATACTTAGAATAAAAAGTGCAGAATTAAGAAAAAGAGGATACAAATACAGTGCCTAGACATAAAAGTATATTAAAGACTAAAAGTAATATGATCTGCAATCATATCAATGAAAAAAATAACAGGGTTTATTGTATACCCAACTGTGAACGCTTGCTTTTACTGTTGACGTCATGCAATCAAGTGATGTCATGACCCACCATGTGATTTTCTGGATCCAAGCCGTTTAAAGATAATTATATGATTACTTAGAATATATATTTCTTTTTTTTATATTCGAAAATTTTAGAGAGTGAAATGCGATAACAGTTTCGTTTTACAAGACACTTTGAATATATATTTCTTTTTCTATATTCGAAAATTTTAGACAGTGAAGTGTGATAACAATTTCAGTTTTACAAGACACTTTTATAGAGTTTATAAGGATGGAGAATATCAAGATTGCCTTACACTACTGAAAAAATCCTAAATCTGACATACATCTGTTTGAAGTTATTTGTGCATGTATCATTTAAATTCACTTCTCTAACTGCATCATACAGCAAGTAAAAGCCAACTTACCACCAAAAAAAATAAATAAAAGAAAAAATGGAATAAAAAACACAAACAGAAACAAACCAAAAGAAATTAAATAAATGCTTAAGTTCAATTAAATAATTTTGTAAAATTGGGTCTTAATATTTGCATGGCTCCGTACCAAAAAATGTCTTTTAGCAAAGAAAATCAATTTGGGAATTTCGTTCGAGAAGACTTATAGATAGAAATATAATAAATTGGCGTTGACAACAGAAGTATTTTTATATTAATCTTGTAGCTGTGTTTAAGTGTTATATACGGAAATAAAACTAAATTATTCTGTTTATATATGAACGTGCTTCTTCCTTTTTACGGCAGCATTTCATGACGATCAAAGATGTGTAATCCGTTTATTCATTTTATTTGGATTAATATTCTTTACCATGTTTCGTGTAATAGTAGGTATTATTTATGTAGTTTATGTACATAGTTGGAAAACTTATAATGACGTCAGTATAAAATAAATAATGTTATTTCTCATACCTTTTTCATCATAAATATTGCAAAGATAAATTGATGTGCAACTGTGATAATTTGATTATAGTTTTCTTGCTTAGTAAGAAAATAATTGTTAAAACAGAAATCATAACCAGCTGATTAAGGAACCGATGCTTCATTGACCATTTTAAAGTGTATTAAATATGACAAAAATGATAAATGTACATGACCAAAATCCATTTTTTTTTTATCGAATACCATGTACTTTTCAATCAAATATGACATACATTGAGTTATTTAATTTTTGTGAAATAAATATATTTTTCAATGGTGTCGAAAAATTCGCTACCAGAGGTCAACTTTGGAGTACATTCACTAGTAAGTGAGAGGCAGACACAAATATATGGAGATGTCACCATTGCTGGTGAAGGGCTGCAAAATTAGGCCTATGCTCGGCACTTACGGCCCTTGAGCAGGGAAGGATCTTTATCGTGCCACACCTGCTGTGACACGGGGCCTCGGTTTATACGGTCTCAACCGAAGGACCGCCCCATTTAGTCGCCTTTTACGACAAGCAAGGGGGTACTGAGGACCTATTCTAACCCGAAACCCCACGGGGCATGAGAGTTGTAAATTTGCTATTGCATACACGTTGTGTTTCAGTATGTCTTTCCTTTAGTGAACTGTAAGCTTTAAGGTAACGTTGTAAAATGTATAAAGAAGTGAATATTAGTAGCCCCCCCCCCCTCCCCATAAAAAAAAAACAAAAAAACAAAAAAAAAAAAAAAAAAAAAAAAAAGGAAAATTACAAAATTTCACACAGGTTTTACAAGGTAAAGGGTCTCTAAGAAAAGTGTTGTTGAAAAAACCGATTATTGAAAAATACAGTTTGTCTATATCCTTGGATAACGAGGTGCTCTTCCGTTAAAGACGTAAGAACTTTATAAAGTCCACGTAATGATATGGTTGAAGAAATTAATTTCTGAAATTTTCTGTTCAATTCTTGCATTTTTACATTGGAGAGTGCCTATTTTTTATGGGTTGAAAAACTTTCTTAGTTTATCAGAATCATGAACTCACATTCTTGACTTGCAAGAGAGTAATGATAATGCCATCATACACGTGCAAGATCAGATCCTAGTTCAAATTAATAAAAGGGGAGAAAAAACAGGGGTTTTGTCATTATACTCTTGAAAGAGGCGGGGGTATCATTTAGTGAGCTCATTGTTCACAGTACCTCAAGTTATTTAGTGTTTTTAATTAATGTTAATCATTTCAATGATTCATTTTGATTGTGTAAGACCTCAGCTGGAATACTTCTGGAAAATTGTTCACTTTTCTGACGCTTCCATGACAGGGTTAGCCATGTTTAAACTGAAAATGTTTCCTCACATTTACAGCTTGTCATCCTTTCTGTAAGTTTCAGGAAAATTTCCCCAGCCATCTGCAAGAAACATTCCAGACATCATTTTCATGCGTACAATAGCAAAATATCTGCCCACTTAGTTCGGGATGACATCATTACAGAGAATAGGTATAGATTAAAAAACAGGGCTAATTAGTATTCAAATTAGAAATATCTCAAATATATTTTTTTTTCCACAAAGATCAGCTTGTAAGACCCGGATTTACCAGGGCAAACAGTAGTTCTGTTGCATTTAATGGATACCCATCGAAGACAGTTGATGGAAACAACAGACAAAATCACTATACATTCTGCATGTTTACGGCTGCTGGTCACAGAGAGGCCTGGCTTAGGATTGACCTTAGAAAGATCTACAACATCCATTCTGTCAAGTTCTGGTATATAAATGACTCCAGACGTAAGTTATTTTTGCTTCTAAGCAATTGTAATTAGATTTGGAAAAGAAAAAAAATAAAAACAAAGGATAAGAATGTCTGATTTTTATTGAATTATTTTTCTTTACCAATCTATTACAACGGAAACATTCCATAAACCATAGCTAAATACATCATCAATATTCAATCTTCGAAAAAGCCAGAGATCCTAAAATAAAGCATTTTTTACAACTTTACAACTCACTGAAATGTCACACAGCAAACTCTTAATGTTAACGTCATAGAAATGCTAGTATGACGTTACCATTTCCCTGCAAGAACTTTTTAGCGTGATACAAGTTTCTCCAAAGTTAAGCGTAAATTATAATATGACTTGATATTTTGATAAGAAAATAACTTTTCTGATTTTATGAGATTTCAGAAAATATGAAAAAGAGGGAAATTGGCATTAAATTGCAGATTAAATGATTTTTTGAAAGTGCATACGTGATTGCGGGAAAAAAGTATATACATGATTTTGTGATAAAAATAGGAAACTGTATACGCGTTAAAATGTCTAACTGCAGGGAAGGGTTAACAGAGGGAAATACTATGATGCTGTAATTGTTTCAAGTACTTACTGAATTAACACGTCACTAATACGTTCATTATGTCTGTTTGTTGAGCTGTTTTAAGGAGGGTAGGGGGTCAACAGATTATTTTTTGTCAACCACTACATATAACTTATTTTTTAGATATGATATCTTCAGCTGTAAACTATCATTTGGCAAAAATAAATTTTATAAATTTTAGTTTTAAAATTTGATCATTTTATTTTATCTTTATTTGGAGCTCTTCTTTTAAAGGAGATCAAATAGTCTAAGAGTGGGCACGACTACTCAGTCTCTTTAATGTTTCAAATCAGGGAAACAGGTTCGAAATTTTGTGTACAAAATTTTTATCTTTAATATACACATTGTTGCTTGATTAACTTGTACATATGGCCACCGATAAGATTAGTTTTGCCCTAATGCATATGCTTCCCAATAATATATTCATATGTTTGAATTTCTAATATTTTTAAGGGGGATAAAAAATGAAAAAAAAAAATGTGGAATTTTTAATTTTAAAGTTTTTATCTAATATATCGAGGACTCAATGTAGTTTTATTAAATTTGCTTCCTTTTGCCATATATTTCTAACTTTTTTCACAAACAAAGTTAACATTTTTAGTGAACCGGCTATTCAAAAAATCCTTGTAAAATGTGCATGATTGATTAAAGAGAAAAACATACATGAGATAAAGTGTTCATTAGTATTTTGTCTTCCATTAGTACCAGGGTATGATACCAGAAGAATACAAGGATTTAGCATTCGTCTCTCAAACAAAACTCAGACTGACCGGCAGGACATTTGTTATCAGGATGATGGAAAGACAACTCTGCCTCCAATTATAGAACAACAATGTAAAGGAGTAGCCCAGTTTGTTTGGATTTACACAAATAAAACGTTTTCTGATGTCGCATTCCTTGGAATATGTGAAGTGCAGGTTTATGGTAAGCTATTTGTTACATTGTAAAAACTGTCTGAGTTGATATTGCTTGATATTACAATACTCTAAAATACATATATTTCATAAAACTCAAATTTAGTTTCCACTTCTAAAAAACCTAGGTTTAGAGATTGAGCAAAGAATATCCTATCTGTTCATTTTTTTTGCTTTGTTTTGGTAATTCTGGTCCATATTTTTTTTAATTTAGATTTTAAGTCACCTTTTGCTGCATGTTAACTGAAATAGGTTGAACAGTATGTTGGTGAATTCATATATGTTCATTTTTTTTTATTATGAATATGACAGGTAGAATTTTCACGGCATTGTTGTTCAATTGAAATGTTCTTAAGCGCCAATGTATTGGTATGATGTTGAACATTTGCAATTGATGTTGTTATTCTTTTCGCCTGTCAAAAGTGCACACATTTACACAACTGAAAAAGACCAAAAGGAAATACTCCCCTTACACCTTGATAGACAGAGATGGAATTTTTGAAATGTGTGTATATTTGATTGACACAAGTCAATAATAACTATAAATTAAAGATATTCTGTTCAAATCTGCTAGAGAAGTACGATCCTTTAACTTAGTTTTCTGTATTGTATGTCATTTGTCCTTAGACTAATTTGTATGATTAGCAATTAACAGTGGGAAATGGGTAATTTGAATCACACGTAATTTTCTTAAAGAAGTAAATATCAGGCTTATCTCCTGCACTTTATTCATCACTAAGATCCTTTATTATAATGCCTGACAAGTTGACTGCAAATGTCATACTCAGATTGCATATTAAAAATGGAAATCTAGCAAAATATGAAATGATTTATTTTTGTGGATTTCAAGTATTCAAAACAGTTTTAATATTGTTGCTTTACCGATTCGTGTAACAATTTGATATGAATAACTAGTTTATTATTAATATCAATGTATTTTAAAAAGAAATCTTAATTCCCCCAACTGTTTGCCAGATAATACTGTGATGTATAGCTTTGTCTTTCAGGATTTAATTTAAGCACTGGTTTTATATAGTATTTGGGGAAAGGCCAATCAGAAGAAATGTCACGGGGAAGTGATGCACAAACAAAATTTTTAGGTGCCCACTAACTAATATTTATTTTTATCAAGCAAATAAGTTAATATAAATATTTCATAGTTTGCATGACATTTTGGACACAGACATTAAGTATCCGTGTTTTTAAAGCATATAATTATATATTGGCAAAATGGGGGGGGGGGGGAGGAGGGGCTCCTCTATATATTTCCTACGGCCATAAAAAAAGAAAATTACAAGTTATACAGTAGTTTATGTAGAATAAATTCATATCCAAGTTCTATTTCATGTACATACAACTGGATTAATTTTTTATGCCATCCCTCGATTGATTGATTGTATATTGTTTAACGCCGAGTCGGCAATTTTTCAGCCATATTTCGGCGGACTAATCCTATTAGGTTAATTGATCGGTAAAGTTTTTGGTTTCTCTGGCGGCCCCCAGTGAGCCTACTCTTTTTCGAACTCCAGAGAAACGATCTTTTGCGTGCCAAGGGGGTTGTCATCCTTGACACGGGGCACCATTTAACGTCCCGTCCGACGGACTCTGTCTGTCGATCTGTCTGTTGGTTTTTCCGTCAGTCTGTCGGTCCACTTAGTTTCCGTTCATATTCTTCACAACCGTTGCACATACAGAAATGAAATTTGGTATACAGATATATCAGATAAATATGTAGGTCAGGTTGTGTTTAGTGTATGATCGGGCCTTTTTTGACAGTCATACCCCTTGGACTTGAAAAATTCCCATTTGAAGAGGGGGGCATAAGTGTTTTACAAACATCTCTTGCTTGTTATTATTATTGGCAGAATAATTTATTTCTTGACTCAGAATTATGTTGATCACATGTACTTATTTTAATTTTTCAAAGTTCATCATATAATGATAACTTTTGCTCACGTCAGACAAGCTTTTTAAGAAAGCTAGTACTAAGTCTTGTACATGCACCTATATTTAATTTTCTGTACCTACTAGTAAGCTGACTTTCATTTCTCGACTAGACAATCTTTTATCAATGTTGAGTAGCCTGTTTCAGAATAAGCAGACGGAGGAGAGATATTTATACAATATTGTATAATAAAACAGGTTGTTCATACCAGGACAGTGATGGAAATTGTATTCCTTGTGACCAGTGTAAGAATGATTGCAATATACACGGGGAGTGTGATGGAATGGGTTGTAAAAGTGAACATTTTCTTCCTCCATTCTGTAAAGGTACGACCTCATATGAGTAAAAAGTTTGAAGTTTTGTCATCTTCTGCATTATTTATCTGATTAACATTATATACAACCTATCAGTTGAAACAGTTTAAGAAGTGGTCCTTTAATGTATCTGACATTGACAAAAATAACATCAATGATTTTAGCATGCAGGAAGGGCTTTTACGGAAGAAATTGTAGTCGTTTATGTGGACATTGCGCGGAAAATTTAGGCTGTGATCAAGTGAATGGCTCCTGCTCTGCTGGACGATGTGAATCAGGATGGAGTTATGCACTTGGAGACAAATGCAATAAAGGTATTGTATCAATCGATGCATTATGAACTCACTCGTATAAAGTGCGGAATGTACTACCTTTTTGCAATGCTTTTCTTTCTAAATTTAAAGGGGTTGGGGTGTTGGTAATTTTTTCACTATATTGATCTCCTTTTAAATAAGAACTCCAAATGAAGATATACAAAAATGATTTGATTTAAAAACTAAAATTTATGAAATTTTTCTTTGCTTGTTGACAACAACTTTAGATATATCTAAAAAATTAAGTAAGATCTGATGGTTAATTTATTGACATCCCACCTGCAGTCTACTTAAAAATGATTTTTTGTTACACAATAGCAATAGAAATTGTAACGAATAAATTTAGAACAAAATTTATTAAAACTAATTTTAAGGTAAAAGATGTCTTATGAGATGTAAGAAATTAAAAAAAATGTGTTCATGAATGTTAAAATTTAATTGATAATTTAAAGAACCAAAAGTTTGAAAATAATTTTTTCATTCATACATTTTGTGTATTCCAGAATGCCCCAATGGGGTATATGGTGAAGGTTGTCAAGAGCAGTGTGGAAAATGTGAAGGTGACAGATCATGTCATCACATTAATGGATCCTGTCCCGGACTTTGTGAACCCGGATATCTAGGAGAGAGATGCCAAAATGGTTGATATATTCAAAATAGTTTATTGGTTTTTCCATATAATATTGAAACGCAACTTAATGTTAGTTGTTTTAATCTATAACTTTCTGTATTCTGAAATGTCTCATATTTTTAGAATATATAACTACGAAATACATGTAGTCCTGTGCAATCATTTTTTTCTTTAAGATTTCTTAACTGTCACGTATGTTTATAATTATTATTTTTAATTTAAACCTTAGTAAATATGAATGACAAATATCTCGTAGATGAATAATATTAGACAAATGCGGTTTACATGTGTAGTTAAATAATACAAAACTAATCTCTCAAATAGGGTAGGGGGGGCGTAATGATTGTAATTTAAATGAAAAAGTTAATATGTAATATAAGTAAAAAATGCCTTGTTATTCAGCCACCTTCCATTCTATGTGCATGAATGCTACTGTGAAATAACAAATTTTCATGAGGGTTAAATTTTCATGTTTCCAAGGTATGTAGAGACCTACGAATTCATGTACACCACGAAAAGTTACATACAAAACTACTCAACAATTTTACATCCACGAAATAAATTTCCCGCGAACCAAGAGATTTTACGAAAACCTCGAAAATTTGGCCAAACTGAAATTGATGATTTCACAATAATTTCATTTGAATGGAGGAAGGTGCAATTCTAACAATTTTTTAAAGGTAATCTGTATAAATTAAGGATTTACCAATTTATTTTTAGTCATAAAGAGCAAAATAAAACCGTACTTACCAATTTATTTTTAGTCAAAAAGAGCAAAATAAAACCGTACTATCTCTTGAAAATCCAGGTCTAGATGAAAATTTTTTCGTGGTATATTTATACAATGTTGCATCTTAGCCAATCAGAGATCTAGGTTTATTCAATCTTATAGTTATGTGCAATGTCATTGTTTCGGTGGATTGTATCCTTGCATTTGTTATGTAAACCTGGATGTCTGTGATATAAACATTCTAAGATTATACTACATTTTCTATGAGAGAGGACTGGTGGTCTTTTTTGTGCCAAAATTTTTACAAAGGTTTAATTTGTATATGTATACTATAAAAATTTAATATTGGTGTATAGGTCTTGAGATATCAAACATTTTAACATTATATATTTTCTTTGAGAGTGGAGTGGTCATGGTCATGAAAAAATTAACTTAGCTTTATTTTTTTATATGTATACTAACAAAAAGTATTTATAGTCCAAGTTTTGAGGTCAGATGAATGCATATATGTGTATGTTCGATTCGGAGAGAATCTCATATCTGAAACATTCTTTTGTAGTATGTAACAAGGGGTTTTATGGCAAAGGATGCCTGGAAAAGTGTGGTCACTGTGATAACGACCAATGTCATCACATCAACGGATCCTGTTCCGGTCTTTGTAAATCTGGATATCAAGGATATAAATGCGACAGAAGTTTCAAACACTTCATATTTTTAAATATCTGCTTATGTATCTTATAGATGACCTTTTTTACTACTTGATTGCAGCTTTAATTTGTTTCTAGACTTCTGAATCATATCCATCTCTTTGTCTCTGTTAAATCATATACTTTTGAGGGGTCAAATTTTTTTGCATTTTTTTCTGAAGAGGTAATTTCAAAGATAAAGAATTTTGAGTAGTTTTGGTAGTTTACATCACAAAACGACATGGAATTTTGTGTCAATTTATGTATTTATTACAAAGAAATTAACCTTCCTATGAAAATAATTTATTTTACAAAATGTGATAATCTCCTTGTATTCAAAATCTTTTTGTTCATTGAGTAACTATATTTCTGACCGAAATGAGCAATACTATCTATCAATCTTTTTCCCTTTTTAAGCATGCAACCCTGATTGGTATGGCAGAGAATGTAAAGAAAAATGCGGTTATTGCAGACATGAAAGCCCGTGCCATCCCGTGACCGGATCTTGTTCAGGATTATGTGAACCAGGATATTCAGGAGATAAATGCGCGTTTTCTGAACAACTGGCAAATCAAAGAGAAATGATTAAGTTAATGAGGGACTTACTGTCATATAAAAGACGCAAAGTTGAACTGAAAGAAAATGGCACTTCTCCCACTGATTTGAAATGAGGGAACTATTTTTGGAAAAAAGGAAAACCAATAAAACATTGGAATCTTCAAATAAAGTATAGTTTTCATTGCACCCTATCTCTTCTTGGATGTTTTAGAGGCTGCTCCTAACTTATATTCTATTGACTTCGAGATTGATTACAGTTATTTTTCCCCAAACTTCGATCATGAGTACATGTACACATATTTGCTTATACATGTACCGTTAATTTATCCTTTGAATCCAACTATATTATTTGGTATGTTTTTCTTGTCATAGAATATAATAGAAAATAGAAATCAATGAAGATATGTATCAAAATATTAAGTTGAAATGTTCTGTACTCTGTTTGCATTCTACTTTATAAGTTTATTTTGTTATATCAATGTTGTTGTATATAATTTTGATTTCACAATCAATTTGAATTTTTTGTCTATTTCAAATAAAGAAAGTTGATTCTTCAAAGATAATTATGTTCACAGAGAGACATATGATTCACCAAAAACGACATCATTTGACGAGCCTCTTACCAATGACCACAATTGTATCATTAAAAAAAGGGACTCTTTTTTCACCTTTATTTTGTAAAACGGCATAACCTTATTGTCTTAATTGAAAGATAATTTAAAAAGAAGGAATGCTTTGGATATACCGATCGCAAACCCATACAATGATCAAAAAGAATCTTTTAAAGCGCGACTGACCAGAGTCGATAAAAAATTTGGTAACAACGGTTCTTTCACCCTGTGCTCAGCACTTTGAAGTGAAAGTTGCAGGTCATTTGGATGCTGAAAAACCCAGCAGCTCCCGTGTCATGTCATGATAAAGATCCCTCGCTGCTCAATAGACATGAGTGCCAAGAAAAGGTCAAAATATGAAGCCCTTCGCTGGTATATTCTGACGTTCCTTTATGAGTGAAAAATTTTCGAATGTGACGTAAATCAAAATACAATCAATCAATTTTACTAACACTAAAAAAAATAAATTGAAAATAGTTTCATTTAAGAAAACGTAAGTCCAAACAATAGTCTATAAAACAATATAAAATAGTAACAGAGCAAACACGGACCTCCAAAACATAAGAGGTGGAATCAGGTGCCATGGAGGAGTGAGCATCCCCTGCCGACCTGTCCATCCCGCTCTTTGTCGAGATTGCCATATAACGTTCACCATTAAAACAATGATTTCAATAAATGTTTTAAATGCATTTAAGGGTACTTAACACAAACAAAAAATAGATGCACAGGTTAATATATATCTTTTGAATGATTTTTATTTGAAATGAGATAAATAAAAGATCCCTGATTTATAAAGAAATGGTAGGTTTTCCTTGTTGCTTAAATATGAGATTTTGTTTTGCTTTCTATATAACTCCATACAAAATTTTGAACAATTTTTTAACCTTATGACAAAATCTTATTTAAATCTCCTACTCTACTTGGTAAACATTATTCAGGTTACCAATTTGAATGTAAATCTATGAGAAATAATGCTGATTTCTGAAAAAAAGTTTGTTTGTGTTATTTATCCTTAAAGTCTAAAGCATCGAAAAAAAAATTGATATTGATTGTACATTGTAATAAATATTTCAATAGTGAGGGAAATAATGATTCCAATATTGATTAAAATAATTAATACAATTTAATCAGCACCAGAAGTAAAAAGATCAGAAAAAATTGCGAAAGATGGTAGTATTCTCCCGCCTACTTCCAAATAATTTTTCACAAAAGTTAAGATATTCGAATAATGTTTCTTATTATTAAATGTATTTATAAATGGATTTTTATAAAACATTTCTTAACTGGGAAAACAACAAGAAATGACTATAAACTGTTTTGGTAAAACTCGTGTTTTTCCACCATAGAAATCAACGGAAAACGAGAATTATTTTAACCCCCCCCCCCGCCCCCGGCTAATATCATACCAGATCTTTTTGAGTTTCCGGGGTTGGCGGTCATTTGTTAACAGACAAACAACACAAAAATTCTTATTTTTTCATCAATTTCCAAGTGCTTAACAATTGAAACATTGTATTTTACAAAAATATATGCTTAATTCTATATACATAAGACATAAGAAAAGATTTAAAAACATTGATTCATATCTAACACTATTTCTGAATATGGTGATACTTAATGGCCCGAAATCAATGGATAATGTCGTCCATAACCTTATTTCAAGAGGTGGAATTAGGGTTATTATGCTATTTGGCACTGGTATTAAAATAATTAATCAATTACAATTGAATTGATCTTTGTATTCAACAAAGATTTTGTGGATAAATTGCCATTGATCTTGAAAAATGTGGTTGTAAATGTAGGCTGGAATCAAGAGTAAGTACGTAGTTCTTGTAAGTTTTTCAGTTATGACAGCACATAGACAGTAATCATGTAGACTAAGTTTGTCTGTAAAAAAATTGGTATGCCTGTACGTTTCTGAGTAAAAAGTGTTAGCTATATCAACTTCTTTTTTATTTCATTATCTTTTAAATCATTTTCGATCCAATTCACTTTAGCACAAAATGACACCAAAAAATAGAATACATATACATTAACAACGGCACATCACATCATTTACTCGTTTCATCAAATATTTTAATTTTCTGGTGAATTGGAGTGTCCCAGGTTTTATGTTGATAAGAGATTTTCATTTTCTTTATCAAATAATTGTGACCTATTTGAGCAGTGATGGATTGAGAACATTTGAACAGGATTGGTAAAAAACAAATTAGTATGACCATGTACTTTCAATTCCATTTTTTATTTTGACTTTTTTCCATGATACTCAGTAAATAAAGCTCCAGAACTGTGAGAAAATTCATAGGAATCAGTGAATATGTGGAAAGAATTCAGCTCTACTTTCTTTTTTATATTTCTGAGCGTGTTCGATGGATATTCTATTCCTGCAATGCAGGAATTTCGACTGATAAGAGATTTTCCTTTCGAAAACTTATTACCAGTACACGACCTATACATCACTGACTCTATCGAAAAATTTAACCAAACTGATTGTGCTTTGCAATGCTTTATGCAAAAATCCAATTGTGCAGGAATATTGTACAACGGAGATCTCCAGTCGTGTAAACTGACGCGATGCCACCTTAATGAAAAGTCGGTGAACAGGAATAATGTTGACAGTGGGTGGACTTTCTTGTATCGGAATGATAGTAAGTGTGATCAGTCCCAATTTAATTAAAATTATGTGTTTATGTCTTTGATCCGCTCCTGTTAGATTGCTACTTTGTGTACCCATAGGGTACATTGCTATGGTACCGCCTGTCCTTCTTAATTTGCCTCCCGCCACCCATTCTGCCAGGATCCGCGCCTACTCTTTCTTCTTTCCTGGGGGACACAAATTCACTGATGTAATTGATGAAGATATTTTGCAGAAATTATTTTCATTTGCAACATATTAAATTATTTTTTTACACCTTATTAAAGAAATGTTAAAAAATAAAAATGAAAATAATGATTAAACTTAATACGTCTTCGTAATCCTCAAAAGTCTAATAAGTATTTATATATATATGTAAATCCCCAGCAAAGTACTTTTCAATATTCTTTGCATTTCCATATTACAGTTTCTCAATTATTTATCACATTGAACAGAAGATACATATATAACTTATTTTTGCAAACGATTGCGATTGTTGCAAATAGGATAATTTGTCAGATTTGGGCCAAATACCGAAATAGTGCAGATTGTGAAAAAAACAGATGAATCTCGGTCGATTCCTTGTACAAATTTCCATTTAACATCCACCATGACTCTATATTAGATGCCAAACTAACTTTATAACAGGTATGTTTGTTTGACACAATTGCAAGATTGATTAAAAATTTAGTTTATCGCAGAATCTGCTTATTGAAACAAAGACGAAATGCTAAAAGAAAAATCCATTTTTAATAAAAAAAAAAACTTAAAAAATTGCTTCCCGGCTGCCAGCTGTGTTTTCATGTTCGGCAGGTGACTTTTATATCGGACATTTTTGACACTAAGTGATCTTGGTAATTGAAAAAAGTTTGTTTCGCTATTTTCCCTAATATGAATTTGAACTGCATCTAATGATGATTTACAGTATCTGTATTGTGAATTATATCACCATCTATTAGATGGAGAACGGCCATATATTTCTGAAAACAGGACGAAAACTACAATATAATCAGTCAAATTGGTTGCATGACTGTATATGTGTCAATATTGAATGTGTGTCAATATTGAATTAAAATATTTTATGTATAAAGTAACTTTTGAAATGCGTAAGTATTATGATTTAACTAGTTAGGTTTCTTGAAAGCATTTCAAACACATGGTGTTTTGTTCATTATAAAAAAAAAATAAAACCAACCTTTGGATTCAAAGTTGTTTTTTTTTCTGAAATAATCTTCAGAACTTTTTTCTCATCATCTCATTTTGAAGTTAAGGACAGATGATACAAACAATTTTTTTGTTTGAAAAAGACTAAATATCATGTCACAAGTTTAGAAAAATTGATGGTTCTTAGAATTTTTTTTCTCCAAAGAACTGGTAAATGAAATAGATTTGGAAAATATTAGTAATATTTCAATAAAAAAACGAATATAGACAAATCACATTCAGTTAAGGTTTACAGGTGAAAATAAATTTCAGAATATGTTATCCTGGCACTAAAAGTGTAATATAAACCTTAGAAAAATATACCAAGCCAGGTGAATTTTAAGAGGAAGATCGAAATGAGAAAAAATTGGCAATATCACATAGGCTGATTTTTACCATTTAGCTTTTCCTAATAAAATTCACCTGGCTCGGTATATTTTTCTTAAGGTTATATTACACTTTTAGCGCCAAGATAACATATTCTGAAATTTATTTCACCTGTAAACCTTTACTGAATGTGATTTGTCTATATTTGTTTTTTCATTGAAATATTACTAATATTTTCAAAGTCTATTTCATTTTCCAGTTCTTAGGAGAAAAAATTCTAAGAACCATCCACTTTTCTAAACTTGTGACATGATATTTAATCTTTTTCAAAGAAAACATTTGTTTGTATCATCTGTCCTTAATTATCGCAATATTCCGACTTACCTATTATCATTAAACTATAAATAAACATGTTCATTTTTTTTACTGTGACAGTCTTTTTCTAAAGTTTGTCAGCCAGGATGGGTACCTTTCGAAAATCATTGCTATTTCTTCAACAAGACAGAGGATAACTGGGAAAATGCAAGATGTAGAAAGAATTATCCACTCTGATGCTGTGGTATTTAGACATAAAAATATCTCATCTTACTTAGAATAAGCATTAGACCAAAGTTCTACTATACATCATGGTGTAATTTATTTGTTTTCTTTTTTATTGTCAACCACATACATGTACTGTAGATTTTGTATTTCCTGGAGTATTTTATATAGGAGCAAGACTGTTTTACAACAACATGCATAATTCTCCTGTGGACATTTTATTAAAAGTACGACGGTTGTCCATAGAGTTCGTGGACAATGACGTTTTTGTTAAAATAAATGGTTCTATATGCATTCATTGTATTTCAAAATATTTTCTTATGAAAAACCAAATCAGACTGATTTAATTATTATTGATGAAACTTTATATTTTTGTAAAAATTGGGGTCTTTAAAGATCGCAGATTATGCGCATGGACCAGTCTGACGTTAATCTAATCATTAAAACGTCAAACATTTGGAGATTTTGACTTAATACATGTTCATGGACACACACTTCATTTCTTTTTAAAGCGCAACACACTTCCATGAGCTAGCAATAATCTTTATGTATAGATTATAATTTATTCAAATTTTTAAAATTCAAAATAATGCACAAAATTTACGACTGTAAGCTATATATTAAATAGTTTGTATACACAAATTGCACAGCCACGTCCGAGGCTGCACTAGATTTATAACAACGTCATGAATTGAAATCTCCATTTTCAGTAAATTACATAGTTTTTAAATATTTGTAGTGTCTTCGAATTTTTATACACATCGTTGAAAAACCTCAAATCAATACACAAGATATATTTCAATAATACTGAGTTGTTGTAACAAATATTTTGTCTCTTACGTTGTTTCAAGTTCATCAAAACATATTTTTTGATCGGAAGCTGCCCCGTTCGGACGGCCGACATCGCTTTTTCTGTCGAACTTTGACACATACTTGTTAGGGTTTTTATTGAGTATTCTCACTGTCTATATAGTAAACGATAATTAAGATATCATAAAATGATTAAAGCATCTTTATTTGTGTTACATAAATTTTTCATTAAGTTTTGATTTGTTTCTATAGAAAAAAATTATTTAAATCCGAACAATTTATATCAGAGTTGATGTCATTTTAACCTTGGTCCGTGCACACAATCTGCGACCTTTAAAGACCCTGATTTTTACAAAAATAGTACGTTCCATCAATAAAAATTATAAATATTTCTGACTTATTTGTTCATAAGAACCATTTATTTTTACAAAAACGTCATTGTCCAAGAACTTTTCGGACAGCCATCGTATATATAAATTTCAGTACCTTGAAAATCAAAAGCGGGTGAATTCATTCAACTGAGACGGCTTGTTGCGAAATTAAGCGTTGATCAATAAATCGCATGTGCCTCGATAATATACTTTATATAATGCATTTTTATTTCCAATTATTATAGAAACAATGTGAACTGAATAATACACACCTACTGGAAGTAGAATCTGAAATAGAAAATACCTGGGCTGTGGAGGCTTTTCTTCCTCCCCCAAAACAAGGTGAGAATATTTAAAATTTTAATAAAAGGTTATTTTTAAACTTACTTTTTGAAGAAGTCAAAAACCTTTAATAGTATTTGCTCCTACAGTGTTGTAGTAAAATGACACAATATTGTAAAATCACACATTCTCACTTGATAATTTTTTTTTTTTGGGGGGGGATAAGAAAAAAGCTGTGATTACATTTTCTTAACTATTTGTTAGAATATGTTCGTACTGATGTTTACTAATGTTTTGTAGTAAGATATGATTGGAATTTGGTTTTTCAGATTCGTATTTAATCATTCATTATCAATTTATTAGTTGTTCCACTTTTCCTTTCACAAATCTCTTTAAGAATACATCAAAAACAGACAATGACATAATTGCTCTACCTTACATGGCATAAACGCATTTCTACGCATCTGACTTGAAAAACGAGAGTAGTGTGAAAAACATTCATAACTTCGTTAATACTGCAAATATCAAAATAAATCTTACACCGTTGGAAACAGAAAATAACTAAGATAAAATAATAAATAGATTTTTGTTATTGGTTGTACCATTCTATGCATTAAGTGAACATAGCTCTTTACCTTGTGTTCGTGCAGGTCTGTGCCCTGTTTTGTGTTCATGCTCAAGTTGGATCGGGGCAACAGATATCGACAAAGAAGGAGATTTTACATGGAATAAGAAGACAGAAGTGACATATTCCAACTGGCAACCTGGAAAGCCTAGTAACGACAGAAACTCCGACTGTGTACAACTCTGTCCAAATGGATTATGGGATGACGCAAAATGTGTAGGAGCAAACAATTTATTTGCGAAAAAGAGTGAGAAACAGTGCCTGTTTGGAAAGGAGTTCTTGTCCTCTGTGTGTTTCTTTTGACTAAATAATAGCTTTTTGGAACAATCATACATGTTTATTTTAAAAAATCATATATTATACCTGATGATATCCAGAGATGTTTTTAGTTTATACTTTTGTTTTCCTGTCATCACATTTTTCCCATTAAATTTCTGATTTCTCTAACATGTAGAGACAAGATATTTTTTATTTGAAAAGGTATTAAAAAATCAGTAGAATCTAATTTTCCTGGACATATTTTATAGACAGATCCTTATTCAATGTTGTGTATATTTTTATCCAGATGTGAGAGAATAATATATGGCTGTCATTTAAAAAAAAAATTGTCTTCTTTGAATGACGTATTAATAATTTTATAACTATAGATTGAACATTAAGAAGGCAATGGCTGGATCTAAGATACTTCACATTAACCTGACAAACTGTGATGAAGGCTTTATATGTCACATTAAGCAAACGACTGGTGTAATCCTATAGCATTTAGAACAGACATATTGTTTGAACATTTTAATCTTAGACAATATTTATATAATAATCATATTTAGTAGTGAAAGTAAAATGATATAAAGGTTTATTAATTCAGAATGTATATTATTAGTGACTCAAATTCGGTGATTTTATAATTGGTAAATGATTTTTAATTTTGTAAACTATTATTATCTTGTTAAAACAAATTGGATTTTGTTGTTGTTCCAATACACTATAATTTGGTAGATCATTTTGTAATGAAATTGATCCGAATAAACCAATCAAGCCAATCGATAGTAAGTAACAAGTTGCTGTCCTTTTAAAAAAAAGGCTGCAATACGTGGACCATATGCATGTTTTTCTAACCAAATTCAATTAAGAAAATATCTAGGTGTAGCGAATATTCATGTACATTTGTAGGTTTATTCACATTTTCTTCAATGATCTGACTGATTGTAGTCTCAAAAGAAAATTGTAAAATTTTATCTCCGATTAGCGGCAAAGAGTTTTGTCAGTTTAAAAAAATCGGGTTATTTTTAAACGCGTTACCCATAATGGCTGGGACTTGTACCCATAATAGCTGGGACTTGACACCTGTTCTGGATTTATAGGGAAGAAATCTATAATGGGAAAATAAAGATCTGATGGTTTACCTGTAGCAAAGCTCTGTAGTACGCATATTTTTTTTGTCGGAGCCCCCCTCCCCCCCTCCCCCCAAACACATGAAACGTCATTGCTACAGACCTCTATCAAACAATATCTGAATTGCTGAAGTATCAATTTATTTGGCGAGTCTTGATGCACAGAACTAACACCGGTGAAATTTTTTTTTCTATCTTTTAAGAGCTAGACTTACATGTAGTCGTTGAATGGCGTTCTTTATTCAATTTGTTAAGTTTACATGTATCTATATACTGCAAGTTCTTCCTACCTTTTTTTAAATGCATGTGCCATAGATTCAATGTATAGTTTGTATATAAAAGTATATGTGTGAGAGAAATTCGGATCCGCCAATGAATATGTAAATGCGATATGCAAATTAAAAAGCGCAATTTGAAACTGAATTGCATATTCTTATACGAATAGTGCGAATTATTCTATGGGCAAGTTACCTGAGGTGCGAACTCTCTAGCATTCTCGCGCATGCGTAGCCTGTAGTTTGCCCATGGCATCCGGTTTAACCTCGCTTATATATTTACTGCGTGGACCTCGGGGTCCACGCAATAAAATGTGGACGGAAATACAATGGTATTATTAAGAATTTTGACTAAGAGCAATAAAATTGGGAACTGTGAAGTAAATAAGTAAAAGAGCTTAGGGCTAGAGCTCCTGTGGTGCAGAGATGGGGACTGAGCCCATAAATATGAGTAATGAGTATTTACCTGCATTTAAGGGTGGTGCCATTTTGGGGTTCATAGGTCAACGGAAAGACCTACGGACAAAGCGTAGGTGGATAGTGATGGTTTGTTAGCCAATGAAATGTATTTTTATATCCTGGGCCATGGATACCAACTGAGAACAAATTACCCTGTTTTGGTCAGAAAAGAGCATTCCCGGCCTTATTCTCAAATTATTATTCTCTCTTCACCTTTTATTTCGGTAATCATTCTTTTGGACTTTTGCTTATTTATTTATTGGGAGTTCGGTCTTCAGCTCTTTGTTTTTTGGACGGACCCTTTTTGTGTCAACAGTGCATTGGTTTATACGAATCAACTTTCAAGATTCGAAAACGCTTAACTAAAATTCTATTCGATCACGACGAAATTATAAACTTGGATTCATTTAATAAACTTTGAAAACAAAGACAAGTTTTCTTCATTGGCTTACACTGGCCTAAAGAAAAGAAAGAATTTTACCGAGTTTATTTTCTATGACCAAAAAGGTACACTAACGTAATTTCTATTATTTTTAGCAACAACAAAAAATTTAAATACCACAAAAAGCTTAAAAATTGTCAAATAATTCATAAAAGATTAGATGAAAAGAAGGTGATTGAAATATTTATTCTGTTTATCCAAGGAAATTCAAAATGTTGAGACCTGTAAGAACTGTCTTAGTTTTTATTTTTCTTTTTTTTTTTTTTGTACAATTCTTATTAAGTGTCATTTCCTATTAAAAGAACGGATTCCGAAGCATAAGATGGTTTATTTTATTGACAGTGCTGTAAAACCTTTGTCGACTTTGTCTGACGTGATTGAATTAGTCTCTTCTCACTCTAAACCTACTCACCTTTTCTTCCACTTGTTGTGTTTGACAATTTGGAATTTTTTAAAGCTAAAAGGAAACATTTGGTTATACATATAAAAAATATTAATACACAGCACAGTTAAGGTTACAGTAAGGAGGCGGGACCTAATCTGTACTGGAAATGTTTACTATGATGTCACACAAAATATAAGGTCATAAAAGCACCACAAATTGAAATCATTTGCTATTTCAAACTGCTGGATAGTCGGAGACTACATAAAACTTACTATTACATGCGGTTGTGTCGTTTGTTAAATCCCACACAACAATTTATAAACGATGCATAGATCGCAATGCACTTGTTTATGTGACGTCATCTCCAAAAATGACGCAGTTTGTACACAGTAAATAAGAGGCTGGTCAAGTCACACTTTGTACTATAAAAACTCTCTTTGGTTCTCAGATAAAAAGTTATATGCGATTAAAAAAGGCCGTTAACTTGGATGCGATGTTTATTTTTTTTTTAATAAAAATCTAAATTTCATTAACATGGAGATTTGAAGTATAATACATTTTTTTTTTTTATATCAGTGAAGTCCTATAAAAAATCCATCATCCCTACATGTATAATTTACGTAATTTTTATCTTAAGAAATCGCCCACATTTCCATTTGTTACCATCACTTAAAAATAGCTATATTTAGAAAACTTGACGTAATCTCGACAACTCTGTCGTCATAATATTTAATTGACTTACTCAAGTCAGATAATCTTAGTGCATCTTTAATACAACTGTGTAGGGATGTAAAAGGTTAAAGATGTCTGTAAATAGAGCTAATGAAAACAAGTCTTCATATGTTTTGGCGTGTTTGTCATCCTCATATAATGATTTATTGATATTAACATGCGCCGATGATGATAACATGGCAGCATAAGTTTATGAAAATATATAATAAGCGACAGAAATACCATTTTGATGCAAGGAACCTGGGAAAAAAGTAACCTCAGCATTCTTAGCAAAATTAGGCCAAGTGGATCAAGGAACACAGCCACAAGACCCATCCGCCATAAAATTGAGTTTGGGCGGCAATTTTGCTAGCTGCAGAACTGTATCTCTCTGCTTGAGAAAATTTGGACAGATAAAGCAGAGAGCTACAGATCCAAGCGTTGTAAAAAAAAACTTACGAATTACGCCGACTAAAGGTATTTTTTCTTGCATGTTATACTTTCCCATTTAAATTAATTCTTAATGGTATTTAAAAATTAATCATACATTAAACTTCAATTCCTAATAATTAACTTACCTCTTAATGCTAACATAAGATTGTTTGTGTTTACATACTTGGAAAGGGAACTCTTTAACCGACATTACAAAAATATATTTACAGACCCTGAAACGTGTTACTGCCCCCAAAAAGCATGTAACTTTCGTGCGCTTTCCGTTTCGTACAAACCGTGCAGCGTTTCGTGCGTGTAACGTTTCGTGTAAACCTTGCAGCGTTTCTTGTAAGCTCCAAAGTGTTTCGTGCAAACCGTGTAGCGAGCGTGCGATAAACGTGCGAGAAGCGTGTGAGAAACGTTCGACTTTCGTGTAAGAATCGTGTGAGAAACGTGTGACTTTCGTGCAAGAATCGTGTAAGATTCATTCGGAAGTAATTTCATTTTAAATATGGCTATGAATGGGTCAGGATGTCAAATTGTACTAGTAATTATTATTGAATGAGTTATGATTGTGATATTTTTGGAGTAAAAACAAAAACAAAAATGGAACAACAAAACGAAATTACACGGTATATATTACACGGTATATATATATATATATATATATATATATATATATATATATATATATATATATATATATATATATATATATATATATATATATATTTTGTAATCCTCTGCATTATACAAACTATCACTTGAAACAGTTTAAAAGATGGTAAATTTGTTTCTGATATTGATGAAAAATGAAATAAAATCTCAAAATCTTAAGCATACAGGTACGAAATGAATTGTTGTCATGTATGTGGACATTGCGCAGAAATGATAGAATGTGATAAAATGAATGGCTCCTTTTTTCTGGACAATGTGAACTTAGATGGAGTTTTGCACATGATAAAAGATGTCATACAGGTACATTGTATTTATGCCTCCTATGAGAAGTATCAGCCTGATAGTGCAGTAAAAAAACAACCAATGGCATTCAACCAAAGACATTCAACATAAAGAGTGTCACACTGTCAGCCTTATAGAAACCGCAAGCTGGAGACTTAAAAGAGAAAACAACTTATTTTAAAGATTTTTTTTGCAAGATGTATCCTCTTCAGAGTATCTTATTAGAATGGAAATATCTTTTACAATCAATATGTTGTTTGTTATTCAAAATTCTTAGAAATTTAGAAAAACGACTTGCTTACATTTTTAGTAAAATAATTTTACAAAATACGTTTATTGAACATGGGATGTGAGGGGTTATCTTCATTTTGATAAACAATTTCATACAACTTAATGTGTAAAATTTCTGGCACAATAATTTCAATGTTCTGTGTACTTGAATAGTATCGCACCTGAATAAAATAAAATCCTTTTTCAAGAATGTTTGTATCGTTTCATATTCTTCCAATCTGTTTTAAGTTTGATATAGAATACAATAAATCCTTACATTCCCCTGAAAGGTTATTTGCAGATA